TTTTGATTTTGTGGTGTCGAGAAAACGTTGCTAATTATGCTGTGAAAACAAGGAAATCCGCTGACGCTGTACTTTGATTATAAAGGTTTATTTATATCAAAGGGTTCCAGCTTCAATTTACAGATATCTGCAGAATATCTGGAGAATAACCGCCCAATCTCAAATATGATTATTCTGTCCTCCTTTGTTTTAACCAAGTATTTATATCCTATGCCCTATGTAACATAATATGGGTGTTTTCCCATACAGACCAATCCCAGGGTTCCTACATAGCAGACTCTCCTCTGTTTTAGGGGGCCCCTATAATAATGTTTTCCAGATGTTTCCGCAAGCAGAGCCAAGTTCCTCTAACACACCATTTGCAAACGTCAGCAAATCATAAATTCCTTAGACACCACAATTTGTTTAAGACTTTTTTGTTTACTACATGATTCCATATGTGTTATTTCATAATTTTGATGTTTTCACTATTATTCTACAATGTAAAAAATTGTAAAAATAAAGAAAAACCCTGGAATGAGTAGGCCTGTCCAAACTTTTGACTGGTAGTGAATGTGCACAAAAGTTGAGAGAAACAAGCTTTTTGTGTATACGGAAAATTTCGGGGATCTTTTATTTCAGATCATGAAACATGGGACCAACACTTTATATGTTGCGTTTATATTTTTGTTCAGTGTAGTACACTTATCATAATTTGGTTGTAATCCATAGAGGTTAGAACAATTATCTAGATCCTCTATGAGGCTATGGAGGGATCCAAATTGTTGGTTTATAAAAAAACATGAATCATCAGTGACACCTTTGTTTTTAGCCCTGGATTTCTAGCCCCTTGGTATTATTGTTGGATCTGATTTTAATAGCTAACGTATCGATGGCCATAATAAATAGATATGCCGATAGTGGACAACCTTGTTTTACTCCTCTTGACAGTTTAATACTTTCTGAGAAGTAGCCATTATTAACTATTTTACATCTAGGGTTACTATACCTTTAACCCATTGTATAAGACATTCTCCAAAATTGAAATATTCCAGGCATTTATATATAAATTCCAGTCGTACTTTATCAAAAGCCTTTTTAAAGTCAGCTTTGGATACCAGGCCTGGTTTCCCAGATTTTTCATGGTGTTCTTTTGTTTCCAGTACTTGTCTTATATTATCTCCAATGTATCGTCCATGTGAAAAACCTGTCTGATTAGGATAAATAATATCCGACAATACCTTTTTAAATCTATACATTTGCTAGAATTTTTGCATCACAACACTGACGTGTAAGGGGCCTCCACTTTTTTTAATGGACTGCATATTTATATTTACCACCTGGGTCCTGTTTCAGTAATAGTGAAATCAGACTTTCTAGTTGAATATCTGATAATCTACCATTTATATGGGAGTGGTTAAAACATGCTAATAACGGTCCTCTGAGTACATCAAAAAAGGTTTGATATACCTCAACTGGTATGCCATCCAACCCTTTAGTTTTCCCGAACTTAAAGGCTTAAATTGCATCAAGAAGTTCCTCCTCTGTAATTTGGTCTTCACATGAGTCTTTCTGTGCAGCTGTTGATTTTACATTACTAATAGAAGAAAAAAAACTTACAATTCACTTCTGTTAATTGGTGAATCCTTTTTGGTAGCATTTCTATGTTGAAGATTAAAACATTATTTGGTGCATTTTTCCCCATACTCCATCTAGGTCGCTTTATTTGTCTAATATATTACCCTTTCTTGAATAAGTTCCTCCAGTTCTTTTTGTTTTTCCTCTAACTTATTATTTATCTCTATGGTACAGTTTTTATTGCTATCTATCAGTACTGTTAGTCCCTCTATTTTCTTTGTTAATATGAACCCTTTTGACCTAAATTGCTTTTGTTTTAAAGACGAGTATTGAATTGCATGGCCTCTAAGGGCACATTTAAAAGTGCCCCATACAATAAGGGGATCTGCTATACCTATGTTATGTTGGAAAACGTCAGTTATAAATTATTCTGTCCTGGTTAAAAACAAGTTGTCATCCAATAGGTTTGATTACATTTCCAATATACTCGCCCAGGTGGAAATTCTGTCCCCTTTCAACACTTTTTAAACTTTTGGTGCCCGTGAGAATGTCATAAGAAAGTAGTCAAAACGACTAGCTTGATTAATCCTTCGCCCTGTATATCTCACTAGGTCAGGATATTTAAGTCTCCATTTATCCACTAGTTCCAATATATCCAAAATATTCGTGATTTCCTTAAGTGCATGAGGGTAATAGTTTTGTAATGTGATTTCCTTTACGATCCATTGAGGTATTTAAAACTGTATTATAATCTCCCACCATAATAATAGAGTCTTGTATTGCTTGTAGGCTTGATAAATTATTATATATATTTTCAAAGAAGCGTGGATCATCATTATTTGGACCGTATAGATTAATGAGCCAATTCTGTTTATGGTCCAATAAAATATTTTAAAGAACCCATCTACCTTGCGGATCTGTTTGGACAATTTTGCACATTTGGATCAAAATTATTGTTAATTAATATCATCACACCCCTTTTGAGTTTCTTTGCCCAAGGGAGAAGTTATTTCCCCCCCCCCCCCCCCCCCCCCCCCCCCTGTCCTTTTTCCACAACAATTTTCATCCAAAATTGTTATCAAAACAAGATATTATGTTCCTTCTCTTTTAGCATGGTAAATATTGATTGTCTTTTCTTAATATCTGCTAAGCCATTACAATTAAAAGTGGCTATACTTATTTCACCATTTACCATAATGAGATACAAGTTTCAATTCTATTTATCATAATATAATATGAAAGTTTGGACACACTTACTCATTCAAGGGTTTTTCTTTATTTTTACAATTTTTACATTGTAGAATAATAGTGAAGACATCAAAACTATGAAATAACACACATGGAATCATGTAGTAAACAAAAAGTGTTTAAACAAATCAAAATATATTTTATATTTGAGATTCTTCAAATAGCCAACCCTTTGCCTTGATGACAGCTTTGGCACACTCTTAACCAGCTTCATGAGGTAGTCACCTGGAATGCATTTCAATTAACAGGGGTACTTTCTTAAAAGTTGATTTGTAGAATTTATTTCCTTCTTAGATTTTAGTCATTTAGCAGACGCTCTTACCCAGAGCGACTTACAGTTAGTGAGTGCATATATCTTTTTTTTACTGGCCCCCCGTGGGAAACGAACCCACAACCCTGGCGTTGCAAGTGCCATGCTCTACCAACTGAGCTACAGGGGACTTCTTAATGTGTTTGAGCCAATCAGTTTTAAG